TCAGTACTGAGAGCTTTTTAAGGGCCTCTATATACATTCCCATGGAGCCGAGGCTCTCGAACGGTTCCCTGGAGCCACACCTCTGAAGAGTCCACAGCTGTGGAGTGAGGCCCCACCATATGCATCCGAAAAAGCTCTGCAAAGATTCTGATGGCGAAAGTGCCAAGATGGACAGGCAGATGAGGTTGGCTAGAGTCTGCCTGATGCGGTGATCACCCAGCCCATGGCACCAACCAGGCAGGCTATGGCCACAGAAATCCCTGACCTGATGTCTCTACTAAAAAGCAGGATGGAAGAGAGGCTGGGCTGACTTGTCCCTTTCTCAGGGATCCCACACTTTTCTCAGTCAACCCTGCTTTTTTTCCCCAAGTGTTCCCAAATCCCTGGTTCACTAGTCCATTCTAGGATGTGTCCAGGAGCTGACAGCATGCTTATTTATACATAGCTTTAGAATTTTCTTTTGCAATCATTAATAAAAATTGAGCTATGTGACACTTTCTTGGTCTCTAACTAATTTTTCTGCGACTCTGTTGGCCATGCAAGTGGTAGTCTTGGAAACATCTCATATATATATATGTGTGTCTTTAAACACCGTTTTATATGCCCTCCGTTGGTTCTTTCCAACTCCGGGAACTGAAATTTTCTGAGCCCCAAGCCAGAACCTCATTGGTTTGGAGTAGCCTGAGCCCTCTGCGCACCTGTGAGCCTCTTAGCCACACTGGACCATCACGTCCAGTCTTTCACCTTGTGGGGAAGATGGGAAACCCAAGTAGAAATAGGTGTCGTTTGCCCCTCCATCAGATCACGTGCCCCAAGCAAACTCGGTTATTTTTACTGAGTCAGTTGTTTTTACTCTCTCTCTCAGAACACGTTTTCAAAGCCTTTTTCTTATTCTTAAATTTTGCGGGAGGTAAGTTTCAGCTTAGTGTAACCTTATTCTTCTGGTTCTAAACTACATGTTTCATTTGTGTTTGGAGAGGGAGCCTGCAGGGAGGAAAGCTCAGAAAAATGAAAGTTCGAATCTGGCTTTTCTATGACCCTGGGCAGTTTATTCAATCTCCCTGAGACTCCGTTTCCTCAACTGGAAAATGAGCATAACATCTTTTGTTTTATAGGGTGCTTGTGATGACTCAGTGCAATACTGAATGTGAAGCGCTCAGCACTGTGTCGGGTGTATAAAAGATGCTCTGCAAATGTTCACTCTCCATTTGAGCAAACATATCTCCTTCCTCTGATTATACAGATTCTTCTCTGTTTGAGCTCAGAGAACTTCCCAGCACCCCTCTTTTCTCATGCACAACTTCTCACTTCTCTTTCTTGTGAGCATCATTGAGGACCATCTTGCATCTCTCTCCCTTTCAATCTGTTTCTAGCTGTGTTCTGTCTTAAGAATTTCTGCCACAGAGAGACTGTCTTTGCTTTGAACTTTCTTGAATCTACTTGTTATAAACTCAGTTCTGGAGGAAAAGCAGAACCTGGTTGAACCATCCAAGGGCCAAAGGACCAGTTTCCACGATAGTCCCCTTCATGGGAGAACCACCAACATTGACAACAATAGGTCTGGCTGGAACGATTCTCTCAGTGTGAGGCAGGCAAATCCCTCGGCCCAGAAATCAGGCTTAATTGGAAATTAAATTGCATTTCCATGCCAACTGCAGGGTGCTTATATCCACAGCTAATTTATCAAGGTGATGCCTCATTCATGGGAATAGAGTGGCTGCATCAGCAAGGTTACAAGCTTGTGTCTGATGAGATGAACTTTCTTTAAAGCGCAACTTGAACCCTTCAAGCTCCTCATTTTGGGGTTTTTGCACTTACTGGCTGCCTCCTCTGTGCCAGGCACTGTGCCAGGGCCTGGAGATGTGGATGCTGGCGGGAAACGGCACTGCATTCTCCCTGCTCTGTGCCAGTGGCAGAAAGAGAATCCCATAAGCAAAAGATTCCCAAACCACAGCACTTTACTTAGTTATCCAGGGTTGAGTTGTTTAGGAAGGTAGAGAGCATTATGGATAACTTCATGGTTAAGAATCTGATCTCTATATTGAACACTGACACTAGTCGTTCACGACGAACAAGGGTGGCCAGACTCTTCACCAAGCCCTTTACACGCATGTATTCCATTCTCCAGGCAATGGTGGGAAATAAATACATGATGATTTTCATTATCCCCATTTCACTGATGAAGAAATTGAGACCTAGGAAGTACGTAACATGCCTGAGGTCATTGTCACCCAACTAATAGGTGGTAGAGCTGGGATTTAAACTAAGGTCATTTCATAGCAGAGCCAATGCCTTTCAATGCCAGATTATACTGCTTCTTTATTTCCCCCGACTTTAATTCTAAAAATGTCCAACTATAGAAGAGTTGCAAAATTAGTATATAGGAGACGCATACCCTTCACCTTGGTTCACAAATTATTATCAATATTTTGCCATATTTGTACTCCTTCTCTGTGTGTGTGTGTGTGTGTGTGTGTGTGTGTGTGTTTGTGTGTGCATTTGGTTTTCTGAATCATTTGAGGCTAGGTTCAGGGACATAAAACACAAGTCTGGTTTGGAAACCACATGGGGACGAGTTTGGCTGGAGAATGTGTTTGTAGTTGGGGAGACACGAGCTGGAAGCAGGCTGAGACCATGAGATGCCAGCTATGACAGCCGGGTCTGGAAGTTTCGGGTGTGCTCTAACATGGTGAGGACAGGCAGTGATACAGTGCAGTGAAAGCATAAATTTTATTGAAGGTATTGGGAAGAATTAAAAAATTAAAGATGTGTATTCAAGGAATGGTATTTTTATGGTCTGATTAAATATACATGCTTATTGAAGGCAAGGCGGACAATACACTTCTTCTATCAAGAAGAACTTTAAAATATAACCATTGATCTTAACAAAAACCCAGGATATTTCACTTTATTTCTTTTCTGTTTTACTTTTTCTACCCACCTATCTATTCACAGATTGGAACCTCATTGTACTTATAGTTTTGTATCCTGATTTTTCACCTAATATTACGTCAATAACATTTCTGCTTGTTATTAAGTAGTCCTCAAAATAATTTTTCAAAGGTTTAATATTATTGCATCAGATGGATGAACCAAAATTCAGTTAACCCACTATTTTTTGACTGAAGTTGAGATTGTCTTCAATTTTTCACTATTATAATGTAGTACCATGGTGAACCCTGCTGAATAGAAGTCTTGGTGTACATCTCTGATGATCTGCTTAGCACAGACTTCTAGAAGTAGGGCTCTCTGGTCAAAGGGTTGTATGGACTATCTCTTTGTTTTGCCCTGGTGTGGAGGAGACAAGAGGGGAGAAGTGGAAAGAAATGCAGTCTGCGGGCTGCAGCAAAGCAGTGAGACGTGATGAGAGTTTGGACTTTGGGGACAGCACTGAGAATGGAAAGAGTGACAGACAAGAGAAACACCAGGGAGAAATAATCAATAGAACTCAGTGAGCAAAGATAAATGGAAGGTGCAAACTGGGGACACATACAGAGAAACAGTGAAGTCAGGAGAGAGAGGTCTGCTTTGCTTTTACGAGGGTTGAGTAGAGGGCACAGGAAGACATTCAAATCGAAGGACTTATGATCCATCCTCCCTCCCTCCCTTTCTTCCTTTCTCCATTCATCCCTCCATTGAGTCAGGATCATCGACACTTTGCTAAGGGGGTAAGTGTGGTTGGAAAGATGGACTTGGGAAGGCAGAACCGGGGCCTTTAATGGGCACGCAGTGCAGAGACTTTCAGGAAGGGAAAGTGGATTCAGAGGCCCAGGTTCAAGGGCCAGCTTTGCCACCCACCAGGTGGTCTCCTCCTGGGCTTCTCGTCTGCCTGGTGGACCTCTCAGCTTCCCCTGAGGACTTACTATGTGCTGGGCCCTGTGCCAGGTGCTGGGGAAGCGGCAACGGCCAGGACAGTCCCTGCCCTTGTGAAGCTGGACTCTCAGGGCACAAGTCAGACCAGAAACAAATGAGTAAATGTGTGATGTAATTGCAGGAGGGTTATGCGGGAAAATGAGGCAGCGTTAGGTGGGAGGAAATGCCACTGTGCACAGCGGGGGCGACTGTAGACAGGAGGGGATCTGAATGAAGTGCGGGAGATAGCCAGAGGAGAGCTGGCAGAAGGTGTCCAGACGGAGAGACAGTAACCGTCAGGACCCAGAGGCTGGAGGAGCTGGGGTTCCAGCAAAAACAACATGGCCTGGGGGCTGGGGTGCACTCCTGGAGGAGAATGCCACCAGAGCAGGAGGCCAGAAATGCAGGGACAGATCACGCAAAGGCTGCAGACCAGAGACGAAAGTCTGCATTTGACTCTGAATGTGGCAAGAAACCACTGGAGACAGAGTTGTGAGCAAGGGGATTATGTCTTTTGAAAATACGGGAGTGGATGAATAGCAACGGTTGAATGGATTAAAAAAAAATGATGGTATATCCCTACTCTGGGGCATTATTCAGCCTTAGAAAGGAATGAAATTCTGACACATGCTACAACATGGATAAACCTTGAAAACATTATGCTAAGTGAAATAAGTCAGACACAAAAGAGCAACTACGGTGTGGATCCTACTTATATGAGGTACCTAGAATAGTCAAGTTCATAGAGACAGAAAGTAGAAGGCTGGACAGGGGCTGGGAGCGTGAGGGTGGAGGGAATGGGGGATTCTTGTTTAATGGGGACAGAGTTTCAGTTTGGGAAGAAGAAAGGTTCTGTAGGTGGATGGTGGCGATGAGGGTTGCACAACAGTGTGAAATGTAATCAATGCCACTGAATTGTACACCTCAAAATGGTTAAAATGGTAAATTTTATGCTATGTATATTTATGACAATAGAAAGATATGCGAAAGGATGCTATGCAAAGAATTGTCTCGGGTGCATTACTTTCCTAGGGCTGCCTTAACAAGAGACACAGACTGGGCAACTTAAACAGCAGAAATTTATTTTTTTCGTGGTTCTGGAGTCTGGAAGTCCAAGATCAAGGTGCTGGCTTCTGGTGAGGCCTCTCTCCTCTGCTTGTAGATGGCCACTCTGTCCTTCTTGCTGTGTCCTCACAGGGCCTTTTCTCTATGTGTGCATCTCTCCCTCTTCTTATAAGGACATTGGTCCTATTGGATCAGGCCTCCACCCTCAAGACCTCATTGAACCTTAATTTCCTTTTAAAAATCTTACCTCCAAATACAGTTACATCGAAGTTAGCACTTCAACTTATGAATCTGGGGGGACACAATTCAGTCCATCCCAGGGGTGATGATGCTGAGGGGTTTGACACAGAGTGTTCCTTTGGTACCGTATGGGATCTTCAGAGTCACAGCTCTGGCTTTGTGACCTTGGGCAAGTTATTCAACCTCTCCCAGCTCCAGGATGGGAATAACAAAAGTAGGTAACTCGCAGGGCCAGGGCTGGATGGACTGCAGTCCAATATGCCTGGTGTCTTAGGCGTATCCCAGGCTCCAAGGCACAGCAGGTTCCCAGCTGATGTTTACAGATAGCGAGCTGCAAGCCTGGGCTTGGCTCTGCTTGTCAAGCACAGATGGTTTGAAAAATGACACCCAAACTGGCTCAGGGTTAATCAAAAGATTATGGAAAGAAAATTGGGGTGGGCTAACCCCAGCCTCTCAGACACAAGCCGCAGAATCACATCTCCCTCCCTGATCCCTGCCCGATTACCTGCCTCTGCTTCTAAACCAGCTCATGCCAGCAAAAAGTGAAAATTGGCTAGACTGGAATTACAATAGCAATGCTTGCTGGGTGGTATTTCATTTCTTTCCCCTCTGTGCAGTCTCAGCTGTCAGGCTAGTTCTCCCATATTTTTTTGTGGTTTGACTGGAGAAGGGGTGTATGTGGATGAGGGTCTGGGGTGTAATCTGGGGGGCACAGGTCTCAGCAGAATCTTCCAAGCTGTGCTGCTTCCGTCAGAATAGAGGCCTTGAAACCTTGATTTCTCAAATAAGAGCATGTGTCGCCTCTTGGTCAAGCTGCGGAAGAACCCGTTTTGTCTTTATTACTTTCCTATGCCGGATCTGAGTTTTAGAAATGAAAGGAGCGTCATATAGGAAGTAGAACTGGAACTTGGAGACAGATAGCCTGACTTCCAATCCTGGCCCTGTCCCGAGCTGGCTGTGTGACCCAGAGCCAGGCCCTTCCCGTCCTGAAGCTCAGAACTTCTTATCTATAAATTGGGTTAACGAGAGCTCTCCACCTTCTGTGGTTCTTGTGTGTATTAAATAAAATTGTGTGTGCGGTGCTTAGAGCAAGGTCGGGCACAGAGCAGGTGCCATGCGTAGTGTTGCAATGATCGCTATAGAGTCTTAAAATTCCAAAACTGGAAGGGACGCTTGAAGCCAGAAACTCCCTCATTTTAGGGATGAAGAAACGGAGGCCCAGAGAAGGGGAGGATCTGGAATCGAAGGCCCAGCTCCCAATCTGCTGCTCTTTGTGGTTCTAAGACCACAAGAAGAAACACAATGGCTTCGAGAAGAGAGGACCATGGTTGGCTTTAAGTTCATGGTCCTCCTGCCGTCATCCCAACAGGAGGAAGGCTTCCTTCTGCCTCCAGACTCAGGAGTACAGGGATTGGAATCACTGGCAGTGGTAAACGTTCTCCCTCATGTCTCTTCCTGGGGTCCTGGCTTCCACTGCCTCCAGATGGCCTGGGGTGCCTGTACAAGTTTCTCATCTCTGCTTCTTCTACACAACTCCCTGCCCTCCTGTGGGGCCCTCAGAGCCTGGGTCCTCCCTCCTGCCCTTCCAGTTGGGGAGCAGATGGACACTGAGGGGGAAGCCGACCTCCCCTCTGTGCATCTGGCCAGCTGTAGTGGACAGGCAGCGAGGGCCATCCCACAGGGCACCGGAGAACTGGGGTGGAAGAATGGCCAGGCCCCTGGTCTTGCGTGCACTGATCCCTCATCTCATCAAGGTCACTGTGGCTGGTGGCTTCTGTCAAACTCTTGCAAATTCAGAACAGGGAGATGGGGCGTGGAGGCCTCTGAATCAGCCTGACAAAGTCCAGGCCTCAAAAAGGGACTCCAGTCTCACAGCCTGATGTTGCTGGGCAGGAAAAGTGATTAGTCATCATTTATTCAACATGCATCTGGTGCTCAAGGCATCACCAATAAGCCCCATGCAGTGAGCGCTCATGTTCTCACAGGGGCAAGGGGATGGCCAATAAAAACGAAAACCAGTAAATGAAAAGGATAATTTCGGCTGTTGACAAGTTCCCAATTACAGAAGATGTAATTGAGAGTGACTGGGCGTGGAGGGGGCAACGTTGGAGGAGCCGTACGTCTAGAGAAGAGCCGGAAGAAGACTTGACTCATAGCCTTGTTTCTTTCGGCTCCGCCTCCTTTCTGTTGGCTATGAGTCCAAGGTTTAATTGCATGAAAAGAAGAGAAGGGTGAGAAGCTGACTTTTCCTGGGCAGCAGGTATGTGCTGGGTGCTGGGTATGCCACGTGCACCATCTCCTCGTAGCCCCATGAGGAGGGAATTACTGGCCCCATTTCCCAGGGGAGGACACAGACTCAAGGTGGGACATGGCTTGTCCCTGGCTATCCTGCCAGCAAGTGGCAGGATTTGAACCCAGGACTGTCTGGCTCCAGAGCTGTGCCCTTGCTTGCCCTGCATCTTCCTGCCATCCATGGCTGCCTCACATGACCACGTCCGCTCTCATGAATCAACAGCTGTCTGGGACTTGGGACTTGTGGTCCGATGAGAGAGGTGGTCTGGGGAAGATTCTGTGGCCTGGAAGATTCTGGAATCCTAAGAAGAATGGGGAAGGTGAGGGTCACACTGGCAGGGCCAGGGACCTCTGGGCCTCCAAAGGCTGATTAAGACCTGATTTGATCCACTCCACCCTGTGTCTTTGTACTGCAGCCCTCCCGCCTGCCAGAGGGGCCCATTTCCAGCTACTTTTAATTTGGAACAAACCAGCCGGTCCCCCGTGGTCCTAGAGTTAATAGGATGTCTGTGCAGCAGGGCTAGGATAAGCAGCTGAACAAATTATTCCTGTCTGGTATTGGTGTCATTTGGAAGAAAGGACCAGTGGTCCCAGAGAGGGACAGCCTTGGCAGGTGACGGAGGTCCCACCTTCCTCTCTCTCCTCTGCTATGGGACTACAGGGACCCCAGAGAGCTCCTGGTCAGCAAAATGAATCAGGGGGTGATGGGTCTGCTACAGAGGGGCAAGGACAAGAGACCTGTAGGCTGGGATGAGGGCTACGTGGGAGAGCCAAAGCGAGCACACTGCCCACCCTGGCAGGTTCTGGCTTGGGACTGGAGAGGCAGGAATGGACCAGAATATTGGAACTTTCTGCCTATGACAAGGCACAAGCACTCAGAGATTCCCAGTTGCAACCAGGGATGGGGCTGAGCTAACATGAGCCCGATGCTCGCCTGAGTGGCCAGGAGAGCAAGCCAGCTGGGATCCGGGTTGGTGGGGACTCTAACCTCCCCAGCGAAGGGAAGTGCACACAAGCTGAGCTTCTCAGGAGGCAGGAGGTGCCCTCCTTCTGGCAGAGGGCACTGTCACATCTCACAGGTTCCAAGATCCCCAGAGTCAAGGTCATTGCTTTTTTTAGACAATTCTAGTAATTCCAGACTGCCTGGTGCCCTGAAACTTGTGTATTTCTCCACTGGCAAGACAACTTCTCACACTTGCCCTGTAAGGATGCAGAGCAGTGAGAGAGGGTCCCACATGGGCGAGGAGCTTGAGACAGCAGGTGTCTGGGCCCCAGCGCACCTGTCCCAGGGGTGATAGTGCCACCAGGAGAGCACGCATGGGTCTGTCTTGCTGACCTTGGCCTGTGGGGTGTTCCCTTTCCCCATCAAGCTTATTCCTTAACCCAGGTCATGCCACATAACGGAATTTGTCCCAACCCCTTGCAAGATAGGTGGCTTCCCTGAAGCACCCCAGCAGGTACAACCATTTCTGACAAACCCACCTACAAAATTAGTGGGGAGCTGGTGGCACTCTGCCAGTGACAAGGTGGGGAGCAAAGCCCGCAGGGGCATCCTCTCCAGCCCCGTGGAGAGGCAAGCACCTGGTCTTGACCCCAGTAGAACTCAGGTTCTTCTCCAGCCCTGCCACTCATTGCCAGCTGGGCAACCTGGCTAAGCTAAAGGTCCGTTTCCTTAAAACAGTTAAAATGGAGATTGCAGTGCCTACTTCCAGGGTCAGGATGGGGCAAGGCAAGAGAGGTGCCTAGGGCATGCCGTTTAAGGAGCTCAGCTCCCTGCAAGTGCGGGGTCCCCTCTCGACCTGCTTGCTGCCAGCCTGTGACTTGTATTATCCTTGTTAAATTAGAAAACAGCCTTGCGTGGTTGATATTGCTATTATCGCCAATGATCAAGGAAGAACCTTGGTTTTGGGAGGGTTGTGCAACTCACCCGAGCTCACACAGCTGGTGGACCACAGGGCTGGGACTCCAGCCCAGTCTGCCTGAGGGCAGAGCCCTCCCCACGTTCAAGGTCATTTTCTTGAGGCTCCTGAACAGCAGTCGGGGGGAGGCAAGAGGAACGGCTTGTCTCCGTTGGGTCTGAAGCTGAGGTCTTGCCTAGCACACAGAGAACCGACCTGGGCCGGGAGGGAGGGAGAGCTGGGGCTCCAGTGCAAGGTTCTTGAGACAAATCTTACACGGTCAGCACCGCCCCCCTGCCGACCCCGCCTTCCGACCCCGCAGCTACGCGGGTGGCCAGGACAACTAGAAGCTCTCCTGGATTGGATTTCTCCCTCCTGCTTTGCGTTGGCTTTGCCATCTGTGCCTGGGGTAATGGATGGGTCCCCAAAATGCAAAAGGAAATGGGCTTAAACCTCACCAGCCAGAGTGGAGCCTGCACAACTTCTGGCTCCCGTCGCCAGCCCCGGGGTCTCTGCCAGGGCTGGGGAGCTAGCTGCGCAGGAAGAGGCACGTTCCTCAGAGCCCGGTGTAACTGGGCATCCAAGGCAGGAGCTGAGCATCTGGTAAGCTCTTCGTTAGAGCAGGGGAGGGCCTGGCTCTAGGAGTCACACTCCTAACTCCTAATCAGGGAATCAGGTGTGGGAAGTGGCTCGTGTGTCAGTCTCTGCACTGGGTGGAGCCGTAGGAAAGCAAGTTCAGCGGAGGGGAAACAGCAAAAGTGCTAGAGACGAGAAGCTGCTCTCAGAGTCTGCGTCAGGGGCTCAAGGAACAAGCAGTGAGTGAGAAGTCTCTGCCTTAAGATGCTCACAGCCCCGAGAGTACCAGCTAATCACTGTAGCAGCCCCATGGAGCATTGCCTCAGGACTTATTATGCGGATATCTTTTTTTTTTTTTTTAATTTTTATTGGAGTATAGTTGACTTACAATGTTGTGTGACTTTCCGCTGTACAACAAAGTGAATCAGTTGTACAAATACATATATCCACTCTTTTTTAGATGCCTTTCCCATATGGGCCATCACAGAGTATGGAGTAGAGTTCCCTGTGCGACACTGTAGGTCCTCATTAGCGCAGGAAGCTTTACATGCACAATCTCATTAAGCCCCGTAAGGAGGCCATTTACGATTCCATTTTATAGATTAGGTACCTGAGGCCAGAGAGAGGTAAGGGACCTGGCGCGAGGCTCCCCAGCCAGTATGCAGAGAACCCAAGATGTCCTAGTCTGGCAACCAGTTGCCTATGCCACTGCATAATTTGTTTGCAAACTTTTTTTAAGCTTTCTTTTTTTTTGTTTTTTAACCTTTTAAAAACTCGTTTGTTAAATTTCAGAGAAGTCCAGTATGTGAAACAAATCAAAGTAGAGCTGAAGGGGCAGGAGTGAGGGTGCTAGGACACTCCCCCATCCCCAAAACACACACAACCTCCCCTCTTCTGACAATTTAAATGCCCTTCCCAAGACCCTAAGAAGCTCAGGCACGGTTCTGAATGATTTGTCTGGCTGGAGGCTCACCCTCTGACCATAGACTGAGCACCTCTGGGACAGGTGTGTGCACGGTGCTTCCTAGAAGCTCAGGCTACTACAAG